TGCTGTAGGAAGCTACCAGAGCTTTTGAGGAGAGGGCAGAGGGGACCCAGCTTCAACAACTCATTTTAGAGGATCACTCCAGCAACAAAAACTCAGTTGCAGGAATTTAGCTCTTCTGTGCCTTGTCCAGAAACTCACAGATCAATTGGTTCTCAGAATATTAATTTCAGTTTCCTTTCAGTGCTGATTTCAGCCTGCAGGAGGGTAGCTGGCAAAGCAGCGGTGGCAGAGGACTAAGCCCTGCCTGCCCCAGCAGCAGTGATGGGGCAGCTCTGTCCCCACAGCCCCTGCAAACTCAGGACAGCCCTCTGGGTTTGAAGAGCATCGTTCAGCATTTGCCTGGCTCTCCAGCTGGGAAAGCAACAGCTCCTGCACAGCATTCCTGACTTTCTGATTGGAAGTGGCATGTTGCATGAATGAGATTTATTTTATACCCCTCTGGCCACTGGCTGCTTTCAGGCAAATGCTTGGCGTGGGGTAAGAGCTAGTGCTGCTCTACACCCTCATTTTGCTATGGAAAGTGTGGGGTAAGAGCTAGTGCTCCTCTACACCCTCATTTTGCTATGGAAAGCTCAAAGCAAAGTGAAGCTGTGAAGAACTGGTTCAGGCAGTGATGCTCTCCAAGCATTTCTCTGCATGCTGCTATGGGCTGATTTGGGTTTCAAGGAGGTGGGTCAGATATTCCTGGAGCTAAGCACTGCTCACAGTGATGCTGGTGTAAATCTGGAGGAAGCCTGGCTCTCCATTCCTCCTCCACCAAGTCTGGTGAGCTGTTTCTGTGTGGGCAGGATCAGGCTCCTGTGGTATCTCCTTGTTTGTGCCAGTCAGCTGGGCAGGATTTGGCCCCGTGGGCATTACAGAGTGCAGGAGGTGGCATGTGGCTTGGCAGGACTGAACTCAGGTCCTGCTGTTAAAGCACCTTTCTAAGATTAACTGAATGGCAAATGTTCAGCGAGGGGGCCCAAGCAATGGAGTAAATCAGTCCTTGGCATTCTGTGGCTGCACTTGGGACTCTTTTTTTCCCCCCCTCTTTTTAGCAGAGGGGCTTGGTGCAGTCTTCTTGGCTAATCTGCCCTCCTGGTCCTTATCCAGCCCTATGTTCTTTGGTGTTGCTTTGTTGGGGGAATTTTAAGATATCCAAAACGGGAGAGGGGGGAAAAAAAACCCACAAACCACCCATATTTAAAATCTAAAAAAAATCCTCCTTTTGAGCCAGCCATCAGAGATGTGAAAAATCCTTGTCCCTGCCTCGGATCAGTGGGTCAGGGCATCACTTTGGGATTTCATAGAGAGGGAAATGTTTTCCTGTGTGCTGGGTAATCCCATCGAGTGCAAGGGATGGCTCTGGCACAGCACGGGCAAAAATCAGGCTCTGATTGGGATAACTCTTCCTTGCAGAAACCACCGTGGACCAAACTCTGCTCGTGTTCTTCTTCTGCACACCCAGAATAACTTGAAAATTGCCTGATGTAAAATCCAGAACAGCTTGGAGCAGGATTTGTCCCTATTCTTCACTTACACTCATGATTACCCTTTTATCGCTCCCTGTTCTGTAAACATTTCTTCCAGCAAAAATCCAAAATCTGGGTTGAAAAATGATAGCTGGGTTTTTGGTCTTTTTTTCTTTTGCATCCTCTACATCAAGTGGCTATTCCCAGAAATTAGCATGCAAGGGCGTGAGGAAAACAAAGGACAAAGAAGGAACTTGTAGTCTAAGGTAAAGCGATCGAGCTGATAGGGAAACGGAAAGCAATAAATGAAGGAAAACTTACATGATCATCTCTTCCACACAAAACGGGTACCTTGGTTTTATCTCCAGCTTCCGTACGTTGGAGAATCTTATTTTAGGACCTTTCCTTGAACACTTGCACTTTACCCCTACAAGAAAAAGCATTTTCTCATGTCCCTGCAAAGCCTCCTGCATACCAAGCGTCCCTTCCCTCCAGCTTATGTGTGCACAAAGTTTGCTTTGGTCTTTCAAGCCTGGGTGGGAAAAGGTGAATTTTGTAATGCTGTTGAGCTTAAAGAGCAATATTTTTCTCTCCTATATCCCAGGAAAAGACTGACTCTCTGGGAAATCTATTTTGGAGCACTATGTATGTTCTCGAGGCTTAGTCAATACAAGCGTATTTTTTTTTAAAGTGCACCTGCTGTGATTAAATTTAATTTTATTTTGAAAAAAAAGGAAATAAGAGATGGAATTTGCTTTAAACTGAGCAGGGGAAGGCAGATCTCGGCTCCTTTCTCATTCACTCGGGTCTCTGCTGGACTTTGTAGGACTTTCAGTCGTTTCTCCTCGCACGGATGCTGCGGCGCGTTCGCAGCCACGCAGAAGCCGAGGGCTTTTTAAGCATCAATTCTGTGCACAGCAGAAAACGCTCCCTGGCACACTTGGAATCTGTGCTAGAGCTGAGCTGGATGTGCTATTTTTCCCTGTGAAAACCCCGCTGAGTTTCCAAGGAAATCTTTGAGCTGGACCCCTGTATTTGAGCCCACGGCGTGACCCCCTGCGCTCAGCCGCGGCTTTGCCTTGCAACGAGGACACAACTTTGTTGTATTTCACCCCTGCTTCCACCTCTAAAACGCTTCCAGCCACCTTAACCCACAGGTACAACACATCGCATGCGGGGGACAGCTAAATCTAACTCGGGGCTGGCAGGAGGCCGAATAAAAACCCCTGGAAAAGAGGCATAAATGGGAATAACCCAACTCACCTTCCGCGCTGGCTATGCACATGGCGAGGAACAGCAGGAGCAAAGCCGCCGGCAGGAGCTTCATGGCGAGGCGGCAGGTAGCTGGGGAGAAGGCCGAGGGATGGGGATGCTTTCGGTCCCTTCGGGCTGGTCCCCGGGGCTGGCGGTGGCCGGGGAGGAGAGGGGCGAGCGGCTCCCCCGCTGCTGCCTGCGCGCTGCCTGCGCTCTGCCGCTCTCCTCCCCGTGGCCTCCTTT